AAAAAAAAAAAAAAAAAAAAAAAAAAAAAAAAAAAAAAAAAACAGGAATGCCAAGATACGTGACCAAACAACTGAAAAACAGAAAAGAGAGACGAACCTATAAGTGATTCAGGTGTTGGAATGATCCGGCATGAACTTTAAAGGAACAGGCAATATTATGAGACTCAAGCTTTGAAATAACTAATAGCTGTTTCTTGATTTGGGTTACGAGTGTGGTTATCAGCTGGTTACAGGTGTGTTTACTTTGGGATAATTCATCAACCTGTATATTTAATACCGGGCACTTTCTTGCGCATGTCATGCTTTAATACAACTTCACAAAAGATAAAAACGTGGGGACTTTGGTTAAATCTGGGCTTGGAGGGAAATTCACAGTCTTCAGTGCACATATTTGAAAAAGTAGGCTGAAAAACAATAAGGTTAGTATCTATCTCAAAAAATGGTTTTAATGTTTAGTTTTGAGAGAGAGAGAGTGGGGGAGGAGTAGAGAGAGGGAGACAGAGGATCTGAAGCAGGCTCTACACTGAGCAGGACTTGAATTCAGAAACCATGAGATCATGACCTGAACTGAAGCCAGACACAACTGACTGACCCACCCAGGCACCCCTCAAAAGCTTTTTAAAAAGGAACAGAAAACTTGGGGCACCTGGGTGGCTTAGTCGGTTAAGCGTCTGACTTCGGCTCAGGTCATGATCTCACGGTTCGTGAGTCCGAGCCCCGCGTCGGGCTCTGTGCCGACAGCTCGGAGCCTGGAGCCTGCCTCAGATTCCGTGTCTCATTCTCTCTCTGCCTGTCCCCCACTTGTGCTCTGCCTCTCTCTGTCCCTCAAAAATTAATAAATGTAAAATAAATAAACAAATGTTTATTTATATTTGAGAGAGAGCACGCACGCAAGTTAGCAAGCAGGAGAGGGGCAGAGAGACACAGTCAGGATCTGAAGCAGGCTCCAGGCTCTGAGCTGTCAGCACAGAACCTGACACGGGGCTCAAATTCACGAACCATGAGATCATGATCTGAGCCGAAGTTGGACACTTAACAACAAGCCACCCAGCACCACTCTTCCAGGAATTTTAAAATTTCAGGTCTTATGTTTGATCTCTCGATCCATTTCAAGTTAACTTCTAATGGGAGAGTTGAACAGATATATATTGGTTACAACATGTTAGAATAATAAAAGTATTAATAAAATCCAGACCCAGAACCCAAGAGGGAGAAAGTCACTCTGATTTAGGTTGGGAGATGGGAAATAGGCAAAGTTTCCAAGAGACAGTGAAGTTCAAGACTTGTTTTCCGTTTTTAAAATTTTCTTTTTAGTGTTTATTTTTTGGGGGGGGGGGGGGGGAGGGGGCCAGAGGATCCAAAGCGGGCTCTGTGCTAAGAAACAGAGAGCCCAATGCGGGAGTGGGTGGGGGTGGGGGGCTCAAACTCACAAACCATGAGATCATGACCTGAGCTGGAAGTTGGATGCTTAACCAACTGAGCCACCCAGGCCCCTGCAAGGTTTTTTTTTTTTTTTTTTTTTATTTTAGAGCTTTTATTTTTGAGAGCGAGAGAGAGACCGAGTGTCAGTGGGGGAGGGGCAGAGAGAGGGAGACACAGAATCCGAAACCTGCTCCAGGCTCTGAGCTGTCAGCATAGAGCCCAACGTGGGGCTCGAACTCACGAACCCGTGAGATCATGACCTGAGCTAAGTCCCACGCTCAACTGACTGAGCCACCCAGGGGCCCCAAGACTTGTTTTTTAACCAATAGACAGGTAGGCAGTGAGTGCATTCCAGACTGAGACTGGGAGGCAGGAGAGGAGAACGAGAGACCGTGTTCCTAAGACACAAGACCAGAGAAGGGTCCCTGACAACCTGAAAGGGGACGGGGCACAGCTACAAGAACTGGCACCTGGAGTCTAGGAGAAAGGAATGCCTCCTCCCTTCCTTCAACCTCCCAGGAGAGAAATGCCCCCCCCCCAACCCCCCAGTGCAGCTGGAGGCTCCCAACCATAAGCATCTACGCCCCTGGCTTGTCACCAGCTCTGCGAGCACAAAAATGCAAGAACAGGGTTGTGAGTTGTTTACTGGGTGAGGAGTTCGCACCACCTTCGGTCCTCCATGAGTCATTCAGGCCATTCCCGGTTGATGCGGGTGTGCACAAACCCCTCCTGGAGCCTGGTTGGCTCGCCCAGCTCCTGGGTGTGACCGGGCGGGTCCTCCGGAGAGGAGGCGAGGAGGCGCGTCCAAACAGCGCTCCCTTTTCCCGTCCAGAGGAGGTAAAATCCAAGTTAGCAGGAATAGACTTGGCCGAGGAATAATGCTGAGGTGAACCCGAGCTCCTGGTGCGACCCAGCGGCAACCATCAAGTCGATCTGCCCCCTTTCCGGGGCTGGCTGAGCATCCGGAGGTCAGGATTGCCATGATTTTAGCCTTTTGATGGGGATTTGAAACTACAGCTATTTAAAAGATGTTGCTTTGAAATTGTTTTTTTTTTTTTTCTAAGTTTTGAACTTGATTTATATAAGCATTTCTTTCTTTTTTTAATTTTTTTTTAACATTTATTTCTTTTGGAGAGACAGAGCATGAGGGGGGAGGGGCAGAGAGAGGGATATGTGCATTTCTTAATGATAATATTTAAATTATAACCTAATTGATAGAATTAATATTCTTTAGGGGTCAAGGCTACTTGAGAAAAAAAAAAAAAAACCCTGCTAAACAGATTTTTAAAACAAACGATCCTGGGCTTATGTAATTACTGTTAAATTCGTACCAGTCTCTTAGGTAATGAACCCACCAGTATCTCATGGCAGTGAGCAGATTTTGCTGGGTGGATGATCTGGGGAGCCGTTGGTCTCAAAAATAAGATGGCTTGCCCATTTCCTTAATTTTATTGGATAAAATGAGATTCTCGAAACGTCTCCTTGAGGCTGGTGAAAAGGAAGGCCGTGTGTGCAACCAAGCTAACCTTTACAAGCGCCTGAGTTGAATGAACTTGACCTGGAACAATCTCCACTTCAGATTCCTTTGGAGCACAGCCCTTTCTGTGGCAGAGCAAAATGGCTTTTGCTTTTAACTACACCTCGGTCTCAAGGAAATAAAGTTAGATAAGGCATTCAGCTGTTAACAGCCGTGCCTGCCATTCAATAAATGCTTCTTCGGGGCTTACTTCCCGTCAGGCACCAGGGCCACGATGGCAGGCAGGGCCCTTTTCCACAATCCTACAATCTGGTGGAGAAAACGGATTTTTTTTTTTTTTTAATTAGCACAAGAATTACAATTGCGATCAGGAAGAGAAAAACCGCAAAGGTAAGAATAACATGAGGAAGGGGGCACTACCTACTTTAGGGTGTAAGGGAGGGATTCAATGAGGGGACGGCTATAGAGCACCTGGCTGGCTCAGTCAGTAAAGCCTGTGACTCTTGAGCTCAGGATTTTGAGTTCGAGCCCTGCGTTGGGTATAAAGATTACTTAAAAAGAAATCTTTTTTTTAAATTTTTTTTCAACGTTTTTTATTTATTTTTGGGACAGAGAGAGACACAGCATGAACGGGGGAGGGGCAGAGAGAGAGGGAGACGCAGAATCGGAAACAGTCTCCAGGCTCTGAGCCGGCAGCCCAGAGCCCGACGCGGGGCTCGAACTCACGGACCGCGAGATCGTGACCTGGCTGAAGTCGGACGCTTAACCGACTGCGCCACCCAGGCGCCCCTTAAAAAGAAATCTTAAAAAAAAAAAAAAAGAAGAAGAAGAAGAAAAGGAGGAGATGGCTAAGCTTAGACCAGAGGATGTTGAGTCAGACCTGTCGGAACACCCTCAGAACAGGAGGGGTGAAAAGTTTGTGCAAAGACTCACCGCCCTGAAAGGAGCTTGTTATGTTTAAGGGAGTAAAACACCCATACGCTTGAAGCATAATTATCTATCATACACCTGGTAAGTTTGAAGAAGCAACTAGATCATTACAACAACTCTAGAGGGCTTTTGGCAGAAGAGTGGCACGAGGTAATGTGTTATTTTGAAGCGGTCACTCTGGCTTCCAGGTAGAGCACAGACGGGGCAGAGGGGAGGAACTGCAGATATCAGGGAAGCCTCCATTCATGGCTTTGGCAAGATGGTGGCTTGGAATCCGGTGATTCCAACAGGGAGGGGAAGGTGCACGTTCGGGTGTATTTTAAAGGTGCAATAAACAGGCACGCTGGTGGGTGGGGTGGTGCGAGGGGTAGTGAGTGGAATGGAGGAGTAAAAGATGACTCTTGCATTTCCAGCTGGAATGACTGGGAAGATGGTGTCATCCCATCAAAGATGATAGACCAGTAGAAAAAGAGGTTTGGAGAAGGCTTCAGTCCTTTCAGTGAATGCCTCAGTCTCTTAGTCATTGGAAGAACTTAGATCCCCATTGAGCACTTCTTTTAAAGGGCAGGTATGTGTCAGTCAGCTGCTGCCTGGTCTAAACTGGACCCCGATTTTTTTATACAGAGAGGAGGCAGTTCAACAGGGTCCTCAGTGGGAGCTGGGGGCTTATCTTGATGTTGCATTTGATAAACACCGATTGTGTGTCTGCTTAGGGTGATTTGGTGGGGTTAGGAAAGATCATGAAAGCCAGGGTAAAGACCCCAAAGCTACCTTTTGGTGTTGTCACTCACTAGGAAATTAGGAAAGAGACAGTACTGTTGAACTTCAATATTTTCTAAAAACAAATCAAGAAAAAAATTTGATGTATATTTCCCATGTTTTGTCATATGTGGGTTATCGTTCCAACAGTGTAGTTAGTTTAGGAAGAAAATAATTAAAGATATAAATGTGTAAGCCAAGAGCCAAAACCACTCTGAACAGCCCAAGGTTGTGAACTTAATTTGCCATTACCCTGGGGAGTCATTTCTCAGCTCACTGATTTATTATTATTCTGTATAATAGTGGTAGCCCCTGTCCTCCTCTGCCCATGGCCAGAGTATGAACCAGTTGTGAGGTCTGAAGAGTTTATGTTTATTGGATTTTAATGATTCGGTTAATAAAGGTCATTCTGAAGAGTAATAGAAACCTAAGTGTGTGGAAACAGAATGGATAAGACTGACTCTCGCAGTTCCTTGGGGTGTCCTTGGGTATATGTCTGATCCTTAAAGCAATTAAGAAGGATCCTTCCTTTCAATCAATTTGCTGATGGTACATTCAACTGTAGCTGTAAAATGTTCTTTGAAACCCATCACTAACAAAAGGTGTCATGTAAACACAAGGCTTACAATTTCTTAGATAATGACAGCATATTGTTAATATCATACTGACAATAGTTTAATTGTAGTTATAGATAATTACAGTACTTAATAGTGTATCTTCAGTGCTCTCCAATATCTTTGAGAGGATGAAATATTGTGAGTTTCAGGTAAAATCTGAATTTTGAAAGTTAGGTATGAATTTTGAAGTTAAAAGGAACCTTAAAAATCATTTAATGGCGGGGTGCCTGGGTGGCTTAATCAGTGAAGTGTCCAACTCTTGATTTCGGCTTAGGTCATGATCTCACAGGTTCGTGGGTTCGAGCCCCGCATCAGGCTCTGCACTGTCAGGAACTCTCTCTTTCCCTCTGTCTCTGCCCCTCCTCCACTTGTGTTCTGTCTCTCTGCCCCTTCCTCTCGCTCTCTCTCAAAATAAATAAACTTAAAAAACAAAATTCGTTTAATGGTGTCCTTTAAATATTAACTAACAGCAAATGATTTAGTAAATATTTACCCAAAAGGGTGCTCATTAGACTGTGAAAGAATTTCCTGGGACACCTGGCTGGCTCAGTCAGTGGAACATGTGACTCTTGATTTTGGGGTTCTAAGTCAGAGCCCTAACTTGGGTGTAGAGATTACTTAAAAATAAAATCTTGGGGCACCTGGGTGGCTCAGTCAGTTGAGCATCTGACTTCAGCTCAGGTCATGATCTCGCGGTTCCCGAGTTCAAGCCGCGCGTCGGGCTCTGTGCTGACAGCTCAGAGCCTGGAGCCTGCTTCAGATTCTGCATCCCCCTCTCTCTCCGCCCCACCCCTGCTTGTGCTCTGTCTCTCTCTGTCTTTCAAAAACGAATAAACATTAAAAAAAATAATAAAAAATAAAAGAAAATCTTAAAAGAAAAAAAATTTCCTAAGGTAAATGGTGATTGTTTGGATTATAACATTAAATTGATAAAAGCATTAAACTGATAAAAGCATTTAAGAATATGTGGAAAGGAATAAACGTACAGTTGTTCCCCAGGCACGGATTAGTTAACAAAAATTTTCCACCCACCTCAAAACCCAATGCGACGGGATGTAAGTGTATAATTCATACACATAATACATTTACTACATAGTTTTATAAAGCCTTCATGATCTGGCTCCTGTTGGCTTTTCCAGACTTGTCTTTTTTCTACACCACTGTAACGCCCGAGTCTTCCTAGCTACAGCTTTACTCATCTTCCTACTCTTGAGTTTCAAACCCACACCGCCCTTCAAGTCTCAGGGCCTATATATCAGGGGTTCCCTCTGTGTCCACCCTTTTCCCTTACCCTTAAACCCTAG